ATGTTATATTAGTGTGTGTATGTGTGCTCATGTGTATGTGTATCTGTAGTTGCAATTGTACCTGAATGTGGATGTGGAATATGTTTGTGTATATGCATGTGCATGTGGATGTGGATGTGGCTGAGCATGTGTATGAGTAAGAAAATGTGTATATGTATGTGTATATGTACTGTTATGTATTTAATGCACCCCACGTTTTTCGTCTTTCAAATTATTATTCTTTAATTATTATTCTCCACTACAAAAACGTGGTTTTTAAAAATATTATTTTTTATTTGATTTTTTTTTTTGTACTCACTTCCAAAATCTCAATTTTTTCACTCACTGTACACAAAACTTTTCAACTGACATGTGACACTAATTTGAAATAATCGAATCGACAACAAAAGACAATCGCGAAAATAATAATTTTTTCCATAATTTTAATTTTATTTTACTTTGTATGTCGTCATTCTCTTCTTTTTCATGCATTGTCATCTAATTCTGAACTATGTGCCAAATTTGAAGTCTGTACTTAGTCGGGATGCTAGTTTAAAATCGATTACAAAATTCCACCCGCACAGAAATACACGAAGGCAAGTTAATATAAATGTGGTAAAAAAATAGAGATGTTGAGACAGTGAAAGAGAAATGCTGAAATATTGACAAAATAATTTTTAAAAATATAGAAAAATAATAACTGAAGATGGGGGGAGCCCTTTAATTAAGCAAAAAGTAAAATGAAACGAATTTAAATGTTGTAATGATTAATATGAATTAGTATGAAACTTCATACAATTTAATAATATTTTAATCGCGAACGCTATTTGTTGCTATGAATTATGCTTTATTAACCTTTCATTTCTTCCCACAGTCATCAAATATTCTGCTAAAATTACCTTAATTTAATTAATTACCATTAATTAAAATAACATTTCTGGTAAAAAAAAAGATTCATATTTCTGATTAATAAAACCACAATATACGGTATTTAAATCCTTCATGTGCTTACTTTTCCATTCGTATGGTAATGGTTTTTCGTAAATTCTGGTTTTCAATATTATAGTTCCTGTTTCCAAAAGTTTAGTAACTGAAGGGTAAATTTATCTGAATAAGTGTTTTGTATGATATGTTCTAAAGTGCCATGAAAAAATTATCGAATTTTATTGCTTATAGTAAAAGCATATTTTATTGCTAACTTTACCCAAAATTATGTCCATACCGCATCGGTAAAAATTACGGAGCTTTTTGGCATTCTTATCGAAACATTTTGGTAACTCTTATAGAATATTTGTTTCAGATTCTTACTGTCCTCATGAGAAAAATATAAACTTTTAAGCATTCATGTTGGCAACTTCGGTATTTCAATTCGTTGTTGCCAACGCGAATACAGGAATAAGCACAGTTTTTTGGTCCCCGTGTAGGAGAAACGTATATGTAGGTACCGAAAAATACTGTTACAGTTCGAAAACTATTTGAATGCTTCGAGTTTTCTTTTTTTTTCTTTCGTGGAGTTCATATTAGAATCCACTTTAAATTTTGAGAGAAAAAAATATTAATTAATTATTATGAAAAAATTGTTTATTAATTATTTAAATTATTAAAATTACTATTTTGAATAAAAAATTAATATTTTGAGTAAAATAATAATTATTTTGAGTGAAAATAATTATTATTTTGAGAAAAATAGTTATTATTTTCAGTAAAAAAAAATTATTTTTAAAAAATTATGAATTATTATCTGTTCACTCGATAATACTTTATTATTTATATTTCACTGCTATGCACCATGGTATTTGTTTTTAGAATAATTAAAAATAAGTTTACTAAAGCATATTAAAAATAATAAACAATGAAATTCTTTTTAAAGTTATTTATTATGGACCCCACTTTACATGCAAGGACCATAATGTGCTTTAATCCATTATGGACACTACTTTACATGCTGTGTGAATGTTAGTTTAGCATCAATTTATACGAAATTGATAAAGTAAATTTGCTTATTAATGCAAATTTACTAAGAATACTTTAAGTGAAAATGTATGTCTCAATTAAATTGTTTTGTGCCAAATATTGCTTTGTCACATCATTTTTATTACTATTTAGTAGAAAAATGTGCCCCAAATATTTAAAAAAGAAATATCCATTATGAATCCCTCTTGGCCATCTACTCTCATGAGAAAGCTTCGTGTTGTGACTAAATTGTTTTGAGATACTTTGATATATTATTCTTTAATTTTCATATTTTAGAGTATATATTTTACTCGCAAATTGCTTCAAACTTTTAAGTGAAATTTCTTGTTTCAAAATAGATTTTTTTTTAATTGCTGGTAAAATGAATTTAAAATTTTCTTTGCATTTCGTCTCCTATAAAAATAAACGGCTATTAGAGTTTCCACTTCGTATTTGTTTTTCTTGTTGATTGATTCATTTTTTTTTTCTTTTTATTTACAGGGTCTTCTGGTCTCTCTTATATTCTGTTATTTAAACGGAGAGGTATGTTTATTAAAATTACATTCTTTGTTTGCATATACATTTACATTTTTATTAGTCTTTTCAGTCTAATTAAAACTTAATGTGATTAAAATGACTAACAAACTAGAAAGTAACAAATTAAAAAAAGTTGATGATAGGTAAAATAACCAAATTTTAGCAAAGTAATTGATTTCTATTGTTTTTAAGTTTTTTTTTTCGATAAAAATTTATTTTTTTTGTGTTAGTGGCAAAGAACGGATAAACTGGATGCAGACTACAGGAAATTTTAGTTTTTATGAAACATTTTCATAAGATCAATAGTTACTAAGGAAGTATTTATTTTTTAAGAACAGTTGAAAGTGTTTATTTTAGCGTTTATTAAAGCAGTGTTGATGCATAGATGAAAAGACTAATTCAAAGAAATTTAGATTATATCAAAAAAAAATTTTGCACTATATTTGAAAAGAAAATTAACGTTATTATAAAATAAAATGTAATAAAATGTTATAATTTAAAATGCAATAAAATAAAATGTAATAAAATGCTATAATTTAAAATGTAATAAAATAAAATGTAAAATTTTTAAGAAAAATAAAACAATACGGGAATATTTTCATACAAGTTTCGGTGCTTTTCTGTGAAACTTTGAATCGTTATTCTTTTCTATTCTTTTTGTCGTTATTCTTTTTTTTGAACACTAACTTGCAAGAATTAAAACGCAGTACTAAATATTAGATTATTAGATTAACCATTAGTAATTAATCTTTATAGTATTTTAAAGGAAAATGGGTAAATGCAACATAGGAAAAAGAGGACTGTTGAAATTAGTTAACTGCTCATAAGCAAGATGACGTGTTATCGTAACAGCTATTATGCTTCGTTTATCATCCCCCTAAATAAATTTTCTGATCGTTTTCAGATATCTTCAAGCGACATATTATGTTGAACCTGATTGGCTGCTGAATCGTGGCATAAACAAAAGCCATCATTTAGCAGCCAATCAGGTTCGACACCCACGCACGCCGTCACTTGCAGGTACCCATATTTTATGTCGATACTCAAAGAGTGATTAATTTAACCCTATTATTATTAATACTTAAAACCATAATAACTTACAAAGTTGCGATAACTATAATATTTTCTTTTAAGTTGAATCATTGTAATCAAGTTAAAAAAGGATTGTTTTGCTATCCTTTTTTAACTTGATTACAATGGTGACGTGTGTGTCTATAACTACATCATGATTTAATTATGGACACCATATTAAGGATAAAGATTATAGTTCTTAAGATTATAGTTCTTAAGATTATGGTTCTACAGACTGAAAAATTTCTATCACTGTCTTATAAAAATGTAAAACCTGATTTCTTAAAAACATTTTTTTGCCTAAATCTGTTTTTTTTTCTTAATCTTTAAGTTAGCTTAGGAAAAGAAAGGACAAATAATCAGTATTTTCTAAGTCTTGTACTTTTAAAATTTTGTTTTAAATAATCAATGAGAAAGACACTAGTCAAAAGAAATATTTTTAACAGAAAATTTTGCGTTTGATTCGAAATATCTACCAAAATTAATTCAAATTATATTTAAAGTTTACTGATAAACAATTAAAATAACTTTATATTTATTAAAATAATTTTTAACCCTCCGAGAGCTAGTGCCGGCTTTTCCGAACTTTTGGATGCAGGCTTGCCTGCAAAGAACCGGTTTCTGTTATTGAATTGTACGTGATGGGAATAATATATATTATTTAATTACTCAGGGGCTCAACGCTTGGAGGGTTAAATTAAACCCCATTAAAGGAAGGAACGCAAATGTTTTATTTTTGCACATCATAAGTAAGGACGGCAAATTTTCCCATAGTATGAATCATTTAAAAATAAATAGATAAATGAAATAAAATGAAACTCTAACATTTTCAGATCAATAGTATATTTTTTACTTGTATTGACATCAAATTTTGTGGAGAATTATTTAAATGAAAACAGATGTGAGAAGTGTGAAAAACACCTTGCTTTCTTGGTGACCTCGTTCCGTCTGATTCATTTCCCCCTTTCTTGTCCAATCTTCATCGGAATTGAAAATTCTTATGAATACACTTTATATAAATTTTCTTTTGAGTGAAAATATCGTTAAATTGTAATAATAAATCAATTTAATTCAGAAAGCTTTCATGCTTCTTTGTAATAAGCACCTTAAGACGAACCTTTTCTTTCATAGCTGGTATTTGATAAAATCTAGTGGAATTAAATTATCACCAAGTTTGAAGTCAAAAGTTTAAAAAAATAATGCTCGCAGAAAAGTTTTGATACGCCAGAATATAAATGATTGATAGATACTTTATTTACGTCGCACTATAGAGCTGTACTATGGGCTATTGGAGATGGTCTGGTCCCTGAGGATGATCCGAAGACATGCCATCGCAATTTTGATCCTCTGTAAATGGATTCAAAGCATAAATGGAAACTATAGTTGGCATCGCGCCAAAACCATGAATCTTCCAATTCGAATATAGTTTTATTTAAATACGTTTTTTTGAAGTGAAACTTCTAATGCGACTTGGTTGCGTTAAACGTTTAACGCTACCCTGGCAACGAGCGGCCTGTGATCCTTGCAGGAGATTTTAATGTGAATTTCTCGTTGTCTGAAGCTGAAACATTGCTAACCTTCCTTAAAGACAAATTTAGATTGGAAATGATAAATGGTAAGAATGATCCAACAATCAAAGGGGGAACTACCATTGATGGAGTTTTTGCAAGAAATATTGAAAAAATAGAACTCAAACATTTCGTATCTTACTTTAGTTATCATAATCCCATTGTAAATGTTATAGATTTGGATATTTTTCCACTCAAAAATGATAATTAAAAGATGCGATCATTTGTGAATTGTAAGCAATGTTAATAAAGTTTGTCTTAAAGAAACAATATGATTTCACTAAAAATCAATNTATATTAAATCGCGTTATTGTATATATTGTTATGCTGTTAAGTAATTCTGCTTAACAACATAACAAACGATATATTAAATCAAGACATAAACAGATTATATATTGACTTGTAAAATAAACAGAGGATAAAGTCATGATATAAACACGACAGATTATCAGATGATAAAATAAGGCGACATACAAACGAACGGTATACAAAATCTCAATATAATGAAAAGATACCTGTGCGTCTCCAAACACGTCTTCGATGATCGTCAGGACACAGTTGGAAGCGGGATACGTCCCCAGTCGGCATCATTCCAGCCATATCTGTTCAAAACATTCATGCATACGAAATTTCAAAGGAATCGGATGATTGCTTCTTGGTGTGTCGATTTTTTTTTGTTATAGAGTGTACTATGCCAAAGACAAAGATGTGAAATTAGATAGAATAATTTTTATTTTGTATATATAGTAGCAAACCTTTACACAAGTTTTCTTCAAAAGCTACTTATTTGAGATACTTGATTTTAGGGTGATGTTTGGCAGGCTAAGAAATATGGTTTATTGTTATGATTTGAAGCACTGCACTCAATGTTTTAAGTAGCTTTTAGCAGAGCACATTTCCAATCAGAATCTCCCCATTCAGATTCCCTTAATTTATAATTGTCTCTAAATATTTTCATTTTCTCTTTTTTATATATATTTAAATTCGAACGCCATTTCATTAAACGAATTTTCAAAATTTATAACGCAGGTTTAAACTGAAACAATTTCCTTAATTTATAGTATTATTCTTAACCCAATTATTATTTTGTTATGATTCAGTTTAAAATATTTTTTTTATTTATTTTGGCAATTAGATTCAGTGTCTACTTTTGCGTTCCTTCCACCGACTGCAAGTTCGGAGAAAGTTATTAGCTTCATCAGAATTTCGCCGATCCACGCGTTCAGATCACATGACTAGCAAGAAATCACCCTTCGCTCCATAAAACAGTATGTTTATTTTTAATATTTAGCAATTTAAAATTTTATTAAAAAAGCTTTGTAGATGCGATACTCATTTTTATTTTTGTGACTTAGCTTACTGCTTAATTCGTATGTTTCTCAAATAAAAAAAATAATAAATTTTGTTTATTTAGTGATCTGTAATTGCGGTATGTAAGCGACGAAAAATAAATACTTTTGATGTTGCTATTTTATTGTAATTTTTGGTGAGCAAAGTGATATTGTAATTTTTACTCTCTTTTTGGTCCAGCTATAAGACTACCTACTAAACTACTATCTAAATTAGGGTTAAACTACTAACTAAATAAAACTACTAACTAAATTAGGGTTAATATGTCCTAAATGCATTAGAGTAAGAGTACATTAATTTTGATACCTGATACATTAGACATTAATTATTATATATATATTTTTAGCTCATTCTTCATTTTTGCTTGCGATTATTGAGTTTATGGATATATGGTTCAGAAAGGAAGTAAATATTAAAATAATTAATTTATAATTTAGTTCCTCTTCATATGATTCCCCAGAATTGAAACATGGAATAATTTTTTTATTTATTTTTGCTTTTTTCGATTTTTTTGAATTTAGTTTTTTGTTATAAGGTACCTCGTGTTAAACTTAACTATACGGAGGAAAAATTTTGGTAAAATTATCGTACTGTATGATAATAGACATTTCTGGTAAAGAAAAAAATCATAATTCTGGTACTAAAAATACGTTTATACATTTTTCTCAGCGTACACGATACCTCGCTAAAATAGCACTTTATACATAGCTTTAAATTTTTGATTTAGTTGTTACTCATATTTCCGGTGATATTATATTATTTAAATTATAGTTCTTAGATACCCCATTTAAACTTGCTGCAAATAATCTCAGTGCATCGGCAATTATTGCATAATATATTTTTTTTATTGATTCTTTCCCTTTTTGTTTGCCTCCTTTTGGATCCGCTACATATTCTGCAGCTTAATTATTGGCACTTAATTGTAACATCAATATTGCTACAATTAGTTTTTACCAATAGTTATTCTTGTCGTTGCCATTTCTAGTTTTAGTTTATGAAACATGGTCTAAAAGGACTCAGAAAGATAAGCTTTCAGTAGACAAAAAACGTAGCCATTAATTTAATATTTTTTCATTTTTAAACGCTTTTGAACACTCGAAACTTTTGGAAAAAAAATTATATTTTTGTTTATGATAAATATTCAAAAGTAATACTTATAAATATTGATTAATTTACTTGAATGCCCTCCTTCTAATATCGATGTGAGAATTTTTCATTACCAATAAGTAGGAGTTTCTTTAAGTTGTAAGTAAATTCATTCATAAACAATCCAAAAACGGCATTCTTAAGCAAAAACCATTATGCTACTGTTGATAGTTCTTATAGCAACGAAACGGTTGTTTATCATATGAAAATTTTTTGCAGATGGTTAAATTGTTTTTTAAGTTATTTAAGTAATTTCCGTTATTTTTCTTGCATCTTAACATTAGCGACAATTTTTTAAATCAATATATCCTTTTGCCAGTTTATTTTCAACTGCTTTACTGATTCTATCAGTATTGATTATGTGTGTTTAACTCTCTCATTTTTAGATTTATCGGCAATACGCACGTAGCATGATACGTACATTATACGTAACATTTTGGAAAATCGGTAAATTCAATACGCTTTACACGGAAATTTCACGTAATATTGACTAATTGATATAACGATTTAGACATTAGGTAATAAAATTTTCGTTTACTTCACAGAATATTAGAGAATGGATTTTACAGACACTTTTAGTATATATTACGAATGTCTGACGAAAAAAAAAATTATATTAAGATTTAGTAAAAATCTTTCTATGTATTTTACTTATTATTGACGAAACAAATTTATCATTTAAATTTCGGTAAGAATGTTTTTGTACATTTTACGTAATAATAATGATGCATATTTTACCATTTAGATTTAATTAAAAAGAGCTTCCACAGAATATTAATAGAATGGATTTTATCAACTCACTACAATGGATTTTGCAGATAGTTTTGATCTATATTACGAATGTTTGACGAAAAAGAAATTACTTTTAAGATTTAGTAAAAATTCTGTGTATTTTACTTATTATTGACGAAACAAATTCACCACTTAAATTTCGGTAAAAAAGTTTTCGTACATTTTACGTAATAATGTTGGCGCTTACCATTTGGATTTTGTTTTAAAAAAGTTTCCATATATTGTACGTAATACTCAAAAAAAAAATTTACTATTTCATTTCGGTAAGAATATTTTGGTATATTTTTCGTGATACTGACGAAATGCATTCAATTAATTCCAATGTATTTTGTTACAGGTAATTGATTTGATTCGAAGATCTATGTATCGTCTTAAGTTGCGCTACTCCCTCGATGTCCATCCGACGTCCGTTACCACCACTTCTGAGATGTCAATGGGTCGATCCAGGCAGTCTACTGACTGTGGTGCAGATTATTCGGCTCGGCCCTGGAGAAGAAGCACCAGAGATGCGAATTCCATTGACTGTACAACCGAACTCAATTCCTTGCCTCCGTTGTCCAGGAAGGACAACGGCATGATCTCGTTGGAAACTTCGCTCATTATTCACGAAGAGTAATTGGTCAATAATGACCTCTATGCTTCTGTGTCTAAAGGTATTGACATGAAATCTATGGAGACGATTCTCATTATACAGGAAAAGTCTTTGCTTTTTCGTGTCCAATTATACGCAACCGAATTCAGAGCTCTGTCCTTGGGTCCTGGAAGAATATCGACTTGAAATCCACGGAAACTTCGCTCATTATTCATAAAGAATCTCAATTGTTCAATAATGAGTTCTATGCTTATATGTCTTAAGATATTGGCATGAAATCTATGGTGACTATACTCATTATCCAGAAAGAGGTTTTACTTTTTCTTGCCCAATAATAAGTTCAATGCTTCTGTGTCCAAAGACATTGACGTGAAATCCATGGAGACGATTCTCATTTTTCAGAAACAGTTTTTATTTCTCATTGTTTATTAATCAGATTTTTCTTCTGTATATAGACACGAACTATATGGTGACTATTCTCATTATTCAAAAAGAGTTTTTTTTTTTTTTTGTTGCCAAAAATGATTTCTATGCTTTTGCGTCTAAGAATATCGACGTGAACTCTATAGTGACTTTTCTCATTCCGGACGAGTTTTTACTTTTTGCTGTTCTGTGCATTTGTGTCAATGAATAATGAAGTGAACTGTATGGAGCTTGTTCTTTTACATTCACGAAGATTTTTAATTGTCCAAGAATGAGTTTTATGCTTCTGTGTCTATGGATCTTGATATAAAATCCGTGCAGATGAGACAGATTAATAAGGAAGCATTTTTACTTTTTATTTTTCAATACTGAGTTAAATAATTCTGTGTCTGAGAAAGACGTCAACTTTATGGAGGCTTACCTCATTATTAAGGCAAAATTTTAATTTTTCGGTGGTTAATTCGGTGTTTTTATTCGTTAAAAATTTCTTGAAAATAATTCCAGTCAGATCATAAATCATATTCAGCCATGCCATTCCTTGTACAGGGTATACATAAATAGAGATTCGCTTTCTGAGCATTTGACTAGACTTCATTTGCAAACTGAGCGCTGTGCAGGTCACTGCGCAACTGTTTTGTGTTTGTGTTTACTAAAATTTGAGTTCGCCAAATAACTTTAAGAAGCAGGTTGGTGAATTAAGGGAAGATTTTTTTCTTAAATGGTAGAATTAATTTTTACTAGAAATCACTCTAAGATATGAATTTCCTTATTCATAAGTATTTATGAAATTGGCAGAATACTAAGAGACCCGCAACTTGAGTTCTACTGAACGGATTTAGATGGAATTTCAAATGCGTTTGAGATTTTCGTTTGAAAAAAATAGTTTGGAATTTTTGCAATGGATCGCGCTGTACTGCTAAAATCGTGAGCAGAAATGAATGGCGCATTCAATTTCGCAATGCGCATTTTGGACTTGCTACTCAACAAGATAGATTTTATATCCATCGTTGAACAGCCGACAAAATTTTGAGTTTACGACTACTAATGTTCAACTCGCTACCCCTGTAATTTTTAACCAATCCAGAAGACAAGGAAACTCCTGGATCAGTACCCCGAGAGGTATTGATTTGTTATGGGCACATGGAGGACTTTGCGATTCGACAGATTTAACGTGCATCAGTCACCATTTACTACACGGGGATCGAACCCACCAATTCTTGAACATGGGCTGAGTGCCCTACCAACCAGGCTGTCCCGGCCTTCCAGCAAGATTGATTATAGAAGTTTTTTTGTCTGAATGGGAGAAGTGCTTTTGCAACACTCCTTGCTTACCGGTGAACACAAAAAAAAAAACGTAAGGAGAGAGCGCAAAATTCAGAATGTCATAAATACAGAATGCAGTTAAGAACATTACTCGTAAATTAGAGAAAACTGTTTCACTAGTCATTGCAGCGGGAAGAGAACGATAGTTTTTGTTATTTTATTTCTTACCATTTTCCTTCTCGTTGTTATAGCGCCACCTGCCGGCTCAATTTCAAACTATAGTTTACGATGGAAACCTCGACCGCCTGTTCTAACGCAGATAGCAGCGTTGTACTTTTATTTGTATTTGATAGGCATAGAGAGGTTGACTGGTTATACCTTTTTAAAACTTCGTTGAAATATTAGTATGGAAAGCTCGTTATCTTAAAGATTGAATAAAGGCATGCAAAATCCTTTATAAAAGATTCATTTTTTTTAGCTTTTATTTACAGGTACTATAAACCTTGTTTTTATCTTTTTTTTTTCATTTTAGCTTTGTCCAGGCTATCAAATGTAACAATTTGTTTGTGTTGTAAACTTAATGATCAAGCCAACTTTCACTTTTAAAGTGTTAATGAAAGTATATAAAATCCTGCTCAAATAAACTTTGATACAGTGGAGCACGTAAATTCTAACATAAACTTAGAAAGAGCCGTGGTGGCTCAGGGGATAGAGTGTTCGCCTCTAAATGAGGTAAATGGGTTCGAATCCCAGCGACGGCTGGTCGGTACGAATTTCACACCCGTCTCGCTCAGACCACAGTGCTGACGTACAATATCCTAAGGGGTAGGCGGATCATGGGATAGAGACCCCTTTCCGTCAGTCTAACCGTGAGAGGTTTTCGTGGTTTTCCTCTCCTTGTAACACAAATACGGGTTAGTTTCATCAAAAAGTCCTCCACGAAGGCACATTTCTCCGAATGCTTGATCCAGGAGTTTCCTTGTTTTCTGCATTGGGTTAAAAATTATTAGGCTACGGAGTTGAACATTAGTAGTAAACCCAAAAACTGGGATGGCAGTTCAACAATGGTTATAAAATACAAAATAAAAATTATCCTCAATTTGAGAACACTTTCTTCTATTGATTTGCGAATGATGATTAATCCTTGATTTCTGAAGGTTTTTTACCTTTGTTTTTTAAAAGCAGATTTAATCATAATTGTTTAAGCAATTTTAGTTTGAAACTCATAGAGCATTAGCTAGCATAGTTGAATTTATATTGTTTCAGGCTTATTTGCTTATAATTTATAAACCTTGGCTTTGCGATAAAGGTTGTTGCTGATATTGAAATCAACCTTACACTGCTATCTAGAACAAAGCATGTACTTATTTGAGGTCTCCTCCAGATTCGTACACTAGAACAGGAGTAAAGTTTCATTTTAATCACCCTGTATATTCTTTACAATTTACTTGAAAAATACGATTTTGAGTTATTAAAAATACTACAAAACAATAGCAAATACCGTGTCAGGTAATGTTGCTTTTGGGATTCTGTTTCCTGATTTAATAAACAATAACTAAGCTTTTTATTACATTGCATTAATTGTATTGCTCAAAATGTTCGTTTCCAATTGTAAGTTTGTCTTATCGTGAAAGTATATTATTAAACATTATTCCTAATATCTTTTACATTCTTAGATTTATATTATTTCCCTACCTCGTTCTAATAATTTACGCAATTATATACGCAATCCTAATAGTACCTAAGCTCCTTTATATTCGATAGATTTATATTATTAGGCTTCCCTATATGTTAGTCTGCCCAAAACGGCATATTTTAAGTGAAGTTGAAAACAGAAAGACGCAAGAACAGAAAGACGCAGAAATTTACGCAAGTGATTATACTTAAATTACAACATTAGTGTTAAAACTTATATCCGTAAAAAAATAAATATCTTAAAAACATTATTTATGCTAATTGCTCGTAAACGTGTACATTAATTTGGATTTGTATATAGTTGTACAAAATTGTTAAATATATGGTAACTATAAATGATTTTCGCGTTTTATGTATGATGTTGTTTGTTGTTAAAAAAGTCTGAAAAAGCCCGTAGAAACTAATTATATGTATGTTGTTATTTAAATGTATTTATAATATGTTAATTTATTTTATCTTCTTTCCAAGATCTATTTTGTGTAAGTTTTAATTTTTGATGTTAAACTTCACTGTTCATACTTTGTCATTAATATAATAAATGTATGTTAAGCAATTTGTTTCTAATATTCTTTCCTTCATATGTTGTGTTAAATGCATTCTTAAAACTTCTCAATCGCGAATATAAGGAATAATAGATGTAATAAACAATATTTCCAGATGGTAGAGGCATCTGGAAATATATCGCATATTTCTTTACTTTCTGTAATACAACAACTTACTATGAAAGCTTTATAAAATAATAGTAAGTGTATGGTAGTAACTGTAAAGCGTCAGGAATCAATGAAAGATGCTTACCTCGGAATACACATTTATTTATACATTAATAGGTTTACATATTTATAACAGCTTATAATACCAAACACTTATTATTCTTAGACATAAAAATATGAGCAGCTCACAAAAAGCTGGACGGTAGTGTAATTGTTCCTTTCTGATCGCGTTCGCAGAAGATAAGTGTTTCCTCTTTAACGACACTTTCTATCTGTGACAATCTAGTATGTAGGTGGTGCCGCAACAGTAACCAAAGTCTTGCTTTTTTTTAAACTTATTTCTACGCTAATTTATAACTCACTAACACACACTATACTCTGCTGTTTCTAATGACACTTGGACAAGCGAAACTCGTCAGCCATCGGCTTTTTACGAATTAAGTCAGGAGGGTTCATTTTTTTAGAAGAAAGCACAGCAAGGGTGACAGTACGTCTCAGGTCAGAATCCCGTGAATACATGGTGGCATCACTCATTCGTGAGGCCAATTTTGACATAGATCTGAAGGGGAAGGAAATTTTCTGCTCAATGACTGACCACAGGACTTTCGATTCTACAAATGTTAGAAAAAAAGCAAAATTTACTAAAATTATGGTAGTTGTTGTTGTAGTTGTAATTCATTTACGTCGCACTAGAGCTGCACAATGGGCTATTGGCGACTGTCTGGGAAACATCCCTGAGAATGATTTGAAGACATGCCATCAGAATTTTGATCCTCGGCAGAGGGGATGGCAGCCCGGCTTCGGTAGCCCAACGACCGGCACACGAAGTCGAGCATTTTACGGTAGAACAGTTTAACGAGGACCAATACCGCACATCCTCGGCTCCTACGAAGACTGATCCAAGTGGTCACCCACCCGCACACTGACCGCAGCCAGTGAGGCTTGACTTCAGTGATCTGCTGGGAGCCACGTCTTTACGATCAATCCACTGCGGGACAGTGCAAAATAGCACTATNAAAGTAATAAGTACTTACTTGAATTTCAACGTGCTTTCTTTTTAATGAAGAATTGGCTTCCATAACTAAAACAAATTTAAGAAATAATACTTTTACAAAGCAACAACACACACCAGAGCAAAGGAACTTGTGATAAACGGTGGGGGGAGAAGTTCAAAGTCCTCTCTAATCATTGCCAAACTCAAAAAAGTAACTCTAACAGCCAATGAGAAAAATAATACGCAGTCACGTGATTCACAACTCAACAGCATAAGTGAAGGGAACTGAATTCAGCATACATACGTCACAGATCAAGACCTATCTTGCTATATCTTGTCAGAATGACTCACTGCCATCTATCAACAGTAGTTGTGACGTCACACGAAACCTAGTGATGCAGGATTGGTATCGTTGCCACCACGAAAAAACGAAAACTAAATTAAAAAATATCCCCCTCCCTACTATAGTACAGCAACCGGGGAGAAAGAAGCTCTCCTAAGAGTTGCCATCCTTTAAAAACTAATATTGAAATTATTATGTGTTGCCACCCTCAAAAAAGTAATAAATGAAAAATAATATTTAAAAAACGAAACAATATTAAAAACAGAAACCGAAACTAAAAATAATTTAGGCTAAAGAAAAAAAGAAATAAGCTCCCCATGACGCTGCAGACGAAGTTTCGATTTAAGACGGGCAGAAATAAGCAACTTCCGGTTGGGGCAGAAATAAGCAACATCCAGTTTGGCAGATATAAGCAACTTCCGGTTGGGGCAGAAATAAGCTCCGGTTGACTTTGAGCGATGACGTCACTTCCGTCTCACGTACATCGGCTATTACTACTTTAAGGTCAAAATTTAAGAACAATCTATCGATGATTTAAGGTCAAATTTTAAGAATAATTTATCTATAGTATAAGGTCAAAGTGTAAGAATAATTATGTATATAGCTTGAGGTCAAAATGTAAGAACAATCTATCGATGGTTTAAGGTCAACGTTTAAGAATAATATATCTATAGTATAAGGTCTAAGTGTAAGAACAATCTATCGATGGCTTAAGGTCAAAGTTTAAGAATAATATATCTATAGTATAAGGTCTAAGTGTAAGAATAATATGTCTATAGTATAAGGTCAAAATGTAAGAACAATCTATCGATGGTTTAAGGTCAAAGTTTAAGAATAATATATCTATAGTATAAGGTCTAAGTGCAAGAATAATATGTATACAGTTTGAGGTCAAAATGTAAGAACAATCTATCGACAGTTTACGGTCAAAGTTTAAGAGAAAAAAATATGTAGTATAAATGTCAAAGTGTAGGAAAAATCTCAAGCCAAAACATATAAAAAAATCCAAACAGATGTTTTCCTCTTCTTTTATAAAAGTAATTTATTTTCCTAATAGGTGGTAAAC